TGGGGAGGTAGCAACGGCTACCAGCAGTGAGGTGCAGCCCAGCACCTGCTACAAGTGGCGAGTTGTTCACAGTAATGGGAGGCGCATCAGAGTAAGGAAAGTTAAGAGTGAAGATCTGAAGGTAGGAAATCGCTTCTCTGTTCTCCAGGATGAATGTACTTCAGTGGCCAGTGAAGGTAAGGGTACTACTGCCCTGCTAATGAAGGTAAGCACATCTTGTGGTTGGTTGACTCTCAGGTAAGATATGTTGACCGTGCTTTTTGTAATAGGAATAAGAAGATGAGAGATAGAGTGTGCTTCCCTGGAGCTTTGGGGTTGGGGACATTGTCAACAGGCTGGATAATATCATGTCAGGTAATGGGAACAAGCTATTATCTGTCTCAGTGCTGGTGGAAAAAGATATTGGGAAGGGTAGGAGAGAAGAGCTGCTAGATAAGTACAGGTCAGCTATAGATTTCATTAAGTCTAAGGGAGGGATCCCAATCATATGTAGCATCTTGCCTAGAAGGGGAGTAGGAAATGAATGGTTGTCTAGGGCAATTGGTGTAAATTGCTGGCTAGACAGATACTGCAAGGAACTTGCAATCCCATTCATTGACAACTGGAACAACTTTTATGGCAAACATGATATGTATGCAAAGGGGTGGGGTACATCTCTCTGGGGCAGGGGTGGTAGCACTTGCAGACTCGATTGAGAAGGCCATTGGTGAAATGCCTATGATTTTAAACTGATGGAAGATAGAGGTATGGGTGTGTGTGGGAAACAAGCAGGTTGCAACACTAGGGTTGGAAACAGTAAATGTATAAAAGGCATTCAGCATAAAGTTATAAATAAAGACAATAGAACAGGTCAGCAAACAAAGGGGGACAGCAGAGGGCAGCAAGGGACTAGCTCCCCTTTAAAGGGTTTACTATACTAATAGCAGGAGTGTTAGAAATAAGATAGATGAGCTAAGATTAATTGCAAGTGCAGGAAACGTAGATATTTTTGCTATAACAGAGACCTGGCTCAATCTGAAAGATAGAGAGATGCCCTTTAATGTCACATACAAGGCTATAAATTATTCCACACTGACAGGTCAACAGGAAAGGTGGTGGAGTAGCGATGTATGTCAGAGACAATTTTTAAATTGTTGTGTTAGACAAGATATTAAATTAGAAGCGTTTAGCCACTGAATCTGTTTGGTTACAGCTTCTCGAGGGCCGAGAAAAACTTAATTTTGGGTGTGATTTACAGGGCCCCAAATCTTGATAGGGAGTGCAGTAAACTTCTATGGGACGAAATTCGTAAAGGCATCTACATACGAAAATGTTGTGCTAATGGGAGATTTCAACTATAGACAGATTGACTGGAGCAATTTGACAGGAAATTTAGAGTCGGGTGACTTTCTTGATACGATCCAGGATTGTTTTTTAAAACAGTTTGTGACAGAGCCAACTAGGGGAAATAACCTCCTTGACTTGGTTCTTGCCAGTAGGGAAACACCTAATTAATAATCTTGAGGTTAATGATGAGCTTGGGGAGAGTGATCACAAATCACTCAGTTTTAAACATATCATGGAATTCCCCTAATAATGGCAATCAAGTCTCCGTCCCTGACTTTCGCTTGGCTGATTTCATAGGACTGAAAAATTAACTTAGGTGGGCTGAACTGGAATGACCTGACTAGGGGTCAGGTAGGTGGTGATGGTTGCCGTATATGATGCTTTCCACGGCATAGTTCTAGCTGCTCAGTCAAATTATGTTCCAAACAGGGAAATCAGATCAAACAAAAATGATCCTAAATGGATGAACAATAGATTAAAATATCTGATTGGTCAAAAGAGAGGCATATATAGGCAAATCAAAAGAGGAGAGGGGCAATTAAGAAATCGATATATTCAGTTAAAGAGAGAAATAAAAAAGGGAATTAGAAAAGCAAATAGAGATTATGAGGTTAAAGTTGCAAGAGAATCGAAGACTAACCCAAAAGGATTCTTTCAGGTATACAGAAGTAAGATCAGGGACAAGATAGGCCCACTCAAAAGTTCCTCGGGTCAGCTCACTGACAGTGATAAGGAAATGTGTAGAATTTTAACACATACTTCCTCTCAGTTTTTACACAGGAGGATACCAGCGATATTCCAGTAATGATAAATTATGTAGAACAGGACGATAATAAACTGTGCACTATTAGGGTCACAAGTGACATGGTCCTTAGGCAAATAGATAAATTAAAACCTAACAAATCCCCAGGCCCTGATGAACTGTATGCAAGGGTTCTAAAGGAATGTAAAGGGGAGCTTAGCACACCTTTGGCTAATCTTTTCAACATATCACTACAAACTGGCATGGTGCCAGATAAGTGGAAATGGCAAATGTGATACCTATTTTCAAAACAGGTGACAGGTCCTTAGCTTCGAACTATAGACCAATAAGCCTAACCTCCATAGTGGGAAAATTTATGGAATCAATAATTGCCGAGGCAGTTCGTAGCCACCTTGAAAAGCATAAATTAATCAACGAATCTCAGCATGGTTTTACAAAGGGGCGTTCCTGCCTTACGAATTTATTAACTTTTTTCACTAAGGTATTTGAGGAGGTAGATCATGGTAATGAATATGATATTGTGTATATGGACTTCAGTAAGGCTTTTGACAGGGTCCCACATCAGAGACTATTGAGGAAAATTAAAGCACATGGAATAGGAGGAGAAATTTTTTCCTGGATAGAGGCATGGTTGACAAATAGGCAGCAGAGAGTTTGCATAAATGGGGAGAAATCAGAGTGGGGAAGCGTCACGAGCGGTGTCCACAGGGTCAGTGTTGGGCCCCCTGCTGTTCACAATCTACATAAACGACATAGATGAGGGCATAAAGAGCGACATCGGCAAGTTTGCCGATGACACCAAAATAGGCCGTCGAATTCATTCTGACGAGGACATTCGAGCACTCCAGGAAGATTTGAATAGACTGATGCAGTGGTCGGAGAAGTGGCAGATGCAGTTTAATATAGACAAATGCAAAGTTCTAAATGTTGGACAGGACAATAACCATGCCACATATAAACTAAATAATGTAGATCTTAATATTACGGATTGCGAAAAAGATTTAGGAGTTCTGGTTAGCAGTAATCTGAAACCAAGACAACAGTGCATAAGTGTTCGCAATAAAGCTAATAGAATCCTTGGCTTCATATCAAGAAGCATAAATAATAGGAGTCCTCAGGTTGTTCTTCAACTCTATACATCCTTGGTTAGGCCTCATTTAGATTATGCTGCACAGTTTTGGTCACCGTATTACAGAATGGATATAAATTCTCTGGAAAATGTACAAAGGAGGATGACAAAGATGATCCCATGTATCAGAAACCTTCCCTATGAGGATAGACTAAGGGCCCTGAAACTGCACTCTCTAGAAAGACGTAGAATTAGGGGGGATATGATTGAGGTGTATAAATGGAAGACAGGAATAAATAAAGGGGATGTAAATAGTGTGCTGAAAATATCTAGCCTAGACAGGACTCGCAGCAATGGTTTTAAGTTGGAAAAATTCAGATTCAGGAGGGATATAGGAAAGTACTGGTTTGGTAATAGAGTTGTGGATGAGTGGAACAAACTCCCAAGTACCGTTATAGAGGCCAGAACGTTGTGTAGCTTTAAAAATAGGTTGGATAAATACATGAGTAGATGTGGGTGGGTGTGAGTTAGACCTGATAGCTTGTGCTACCAGGTCGGTTGCCGTGTTCCTCCCTTAAGTCAATGTGACCTGACCTGACTAGGTTGGGTGCATTGGCTTAAGCCGGTAGGAGACTTGGACCTGCCTCGCATGGGCCAGTAGGCCTTCTGCAGTGTTCCTTCGTTCTTATGTTCTTATGTTCTTATGTTGTGTAGTGAAAGTTACTACAGTGTTGTGTAGTGAAAGTTACTACAGTATTGTGTAGTGAAAGTTACTACAGTGTTGTGTAGTGAAAGTTACTACAGTGTTGTGTAGTGAAAGTTACTACAGTGTTGTGTTGTGAAAGTTACTACAGTGTTGTGTAGTGAAAGTTACTACAGTGTTGTGTAGTGAAAGTTACTACAGTGTTGTGTAGTGAAAGTTACTACAGTGTTGTGTAGTGAAAGTTACTACAGTGTTATGTTGTGAAGGTTACTACAGTGTTGTGTAGTGAAAGTTACTACAGTGTTGTGTAGTGAAAGTTACTACAGTGTTGTGTAGTGAAGGTTACTACAGTATTGTGTAGTGAAAGTTACTACAGTGTTATCATCTCCCTTCTGCCACTCTGGTAGTTCAGTTTTCATAGATGAGTTGCGAAAGAAATGATCAGAGGCATCACTACAAATGTTTCAGGCCTAAGGTCAGCAGTCGAATGACCATTCCAACATCCAAAATGATAAAAAGGGTTAGCCAGTTAATGAACCCAAAGTATTAGACAAGCTCTCTATTAACCACATACTCTGTCTCTGTTTGATATTCACACCCCAGTTTTATTTTAAACATTACATTTGAGCTGCCTTCAGCCTCAATGCAATAATCAATATACACACCCTTCAAGGGAGGTTCCTTAATGCTGGTGAGGAGCTCTTGATCTAGGGATTTGAATCTGTGCTCTAATTCACTGAAATAAGCCTGAGTGCCTTCCATCCCCCCACCCCCCTACATTATTATTATAATCAAAAAGAAGCGCTAAGCCACAAGGGCTATACAGCGCTGCAGGGTAGGGAAGGAAGCGAGGGTATTGGATGGCAGAAGGGAGGAGGGATGATCAGTAGGTTACAGAAAACAGCGGGGCAGGGGATAGTACGGGGGTAGAGGGTAGCAAGAGATTGAAGTAGAAACCCACCCCCCTACAGGCGTTGTATAATCCCTTTGGGTATAGCATTCCCCCATGATAATAATACAGTATACACAATAGGAGTAATTTTATGTAATTAGTATTTGCAAAAGAATTTTTTTTATTATTCATAAGAAATTTGTATGTTAATTAGTTCTCTTAGCAAATGGGCAATTTATTTTGCAAGTTCTTTTAAAGTCTTTTATTGGATCAAGATCAACAGTTTAAAAAAAGGTACATAACAAGAATGGACAAATTTAAATATTAAACAATTTTAAAATAAATCATTAACACAACCTAGATCAGAATTAATCAACTGTGTGCACTAAGATTTCTAATGGTATTTCCTTATATGAAAAATTTCATACTAATCTACTCTTCTGCAAGAGAACTTTAATACAGTATAAGTTATAATATTAAGGATTTCAGTAAACTCCCGTTAATCGTGGGCATGCTAACACCATAACATTATTGCACCTTAAAACATTTAAACTGAATTTTTAAGGCATATATTATTCAGGTGCAGCTTTCACACCATCAAGAATCAATAGCATCTTTTCTAAACTTAGTTACAAAATGAAAATTGCATGTATAATATGGTGGGCAGTCCTCAACTTGTTGAAAGTAGTGAAGCAACACAAATACATAGCTGGAATACTTAAGAAAGCTGAAGGACAAAATGTTATTTTATATTGATTTAGTTATTATTCTCACCAAGTATTTGTACAGAAAGCATTTGACAAGATTAAAAACTTGTTAACTATTAAATTTCTAATCTCTATTTTGTGTTAAACAAGCACAAAATTTGAAATACAGCACTGTAGATTTTGAAGTCTGGGTTTTAGGTTGGCTGCTTATGATAATTTCACAAATGTCTTGACACAGTTAGTAAGGACTAGCGAGAGTTTACTGTACAGTAACTCTATTGTCATCAGCTATATAAAAGGATATGATGCATAAAATAAATGAGTATCAAATTTTATATTCCGAAACCTTACTAATAAGAAAACAAACTGACAATTTCTGCTTAATTATGTGCCAAAAATATTCTCTATGCCCTTTTGGCATAAGAGTAAAAAATCTGAAAAAATATTTTTTTAAGCCCAAAACATGTAACTAAAATTTTGATAAACAGTATTAATTACATGTCAGCCAACAATACTTAAGTTGACACCCATAACATAATGTGTGTAGAAGATATCCTCACTATACAGTACTTAATCTGTTTAAATTTCATTGAAATCTCTTATCAGTCTCATACTAACTACTATATGAGAGACATTAAGTATCACACACAAGCATGCTGCAGGAGGACCCTGATTAATTCTGCAGACAGCTTTTCATACTTATGAGATTTTAGCAGTCTGAATCATAATCCATGTGTTCGAGGGATCCATATTCCTGAAAGATAAGTGTCAACATTTAATATAATTCACTACTTTTATCAATATTTATGCATATCAACATCTAAAAAAAATCATCCATATCCATGTGCACAAAATACATGTGATAAAACCATGAACAGCCAACAAGGCTTAAAGAACTACCTGAATGGTAAACAAGAACACTCTTACTAGATCACTTCCAGCTGAACTAGTTGACTAGTAGCATGCATAACTAGCATAGGCAGGCCCCACTTTAGAGTTTTGCTAATGCAGCAGTTTTCAGTTATACCCATTCTTCATTTATTCAGACTTCCTACAATATACTCACCACTTACTCTAAGCTAAGAACAAAAATACTTTAAGGTAAATAATGTGTGTACTGTATATTCATTTTTTTAGGCCTAACATTTTACCAGGCTTTTATATGCATTTAACAGAAAAAAAAAAAGAGGAGCTATGATTCACTTTACAGCAGTTGCCTGGATCCTAACCTGCTGTATAAGTGGGGCAGTCATGGGTTCAAATCCTGGCTGATTATAGGTTACTCAACACGTTTACTAACAAGAGTGACCAAAAGAAGGAAACACATTCACCCTCACCCCTTCAATAGTTGTCTACCCAGCAGTGTGCAGAAATCACAAGCAAATGACCCCTCCAAGTCACAAAATCATATCCCAGCCTTCAGAGTGCAGGCATTGTACTTGCATAACCAGAAATTTATGCAGTAGCTCATGATTCTGTAATGTTTCCTATAAAACTACCCTTCCTTAAGTATCTTCAAATGCAATAATAAATGTTTTACCCAAATTGAGCACTCACTGCAGGATGCAACCACTGCATAATTTCCAACAAACCAAAATGCTGCATACCTTGGCACAAGAGAAGTGTGTGCATCCCCGAGTCATCGTGAACACTGTCGTGAAAGCTTAGCTTTTACTTAATTTCCTCCTTCCCTTGTTATTGTGCCTTAACTAAGATTCCTAAAATGTTTGTTGATAACACTCCTAGTGTTTAGATGAGGTAAAATTTGTTTGTTTATGCAGTATGTGCTTCTTGATTTACAATGGGGTTATGTTTCGATGAACCCACCATGAGGTGAAAATATAGCAAGTCGAATATGAATGAGAAAAATAAGTAAATAAATAACTACTGTCACTGAATAAGTAAATAAACAAATAATTACTGTAACTAACTAAATACCAGTATTGAAAAGTAAATAAATGAATACAAGTTTATCCTGTCAATCAATGTACAGCCTCCCTATCGCACCATCGTGAAGATGAAATATCCTAGGTTGAACCATCGAAAAGTGAGGAGCATTTTTATAAAATTATGTGAAACACTAAACCTGTGGGGGCTATTCAGTGCAAGGAACTGTGGAGGCTCAATCCTTTACTTATTAAACCTAAAACAAACACCATATTTAACTGTACTCACCTAAATGTTAAGAAAGAATCTGTGATGCTCAAGACAACAATGAGTGTTTAGTGGGTGCTCTTATCATGGCAGAAAATATGTACATAGTTAAGTGTTTCAACATTCAAACTGTAGTACACTGCACAGATGACAAAAAAAATAATGACATAATATGGTACAGTAAATAGAAATGACGGAGCAAGGGGCTAGTAACCTCTTCTCCTGTATAAATTACTAAATTTGAAAAGAGAAACTTTTGTTTTTCTTTTTGAGCCACCCTGCCTTGGTGGGATACGGCTGGTTTGTTGAAAGAAGAAAAAATAGAAATGATATTAATTTGTCATGATTGTAAAAACAACAATTTTTTTTTTAAGTATTATGCTATGTCTACTGGGTCCGAACCAACTAATCCAGTGAATTTTGTATTTCCAAAAGTACACTAAATTAAGGGGTTTTTCTCTTCCTAAAGAAAGAAGACAGGTTGCTAAATCAGCTGGAGATACTTCTTCTTTCAACAAACCAGCTATATCCTACCAAAGCAGGGTGGCCCAAAAAGAGAAACAAAAGTTCCTCTTTTTAAATTTAGTAATGTACACAGGAGAAGGAGTTACTAGCCCCTTGCTCTCGGCATTTTAGTCGCCTCTTACGACACTCGTGGCTTACGGAGGAAGAATTCTGTTCCGTTCCCCATGGAGAGATACTTACCTTAAACATTTGGCACTGTGTAATAACAATTCTGGCAAGGGCTTTAATACGCTGGTAAGGTTTCGGAGACTTCAGTAATTCTTCGAGAAGATTAATACCTCCTTCCTCCTCAACTAAAGAGCAATATTTGTCAGCTGTAAGAAAAAAAAATTATAGAATGAGATGCTGCTCTAATAGCAAAATATTGTACACTTTTTTTTTAATCACATCTGCCACTTCCCACCAAGGTAGAGTGATAAAAAGAAGGAAACACATTCACCATCATTCATTCAATAGCTGTCTTGCCAGAAGTGCAGGACATCACAATTCAAATAAGGTTCAAGCTCTAGGACCAATACAAAAGACTTGTATAACAAGCAACTCACGGTATACTCGTGTGAGATTCGCTAGTGCCCACGCTGCCCAATGTTGACACTGAGGCGTATGATATACCTCTAGGAGTCGGAGGATTGGTTCAAATGACCTGAAAATTGACATTAATTAAAAATTATGGCTATTAAGAGGTGAAATAAAGACAAGGAATTTGCTTGTGACAAAGGTGTGATAAGTTTATGTTGTACTGGAAAGAAGAAAAAATGTGAAAATAAAAAATACAAATGGAAATCTCTTATCTAAAGGTGACAAGGAATTAAAATTATGAAAATTGTATTTCAGTTATTTTATATTATTAAATGATAAAAAAACAAAGACATTCTTTTATTTTTTAACATGCTGGCCACCTCCCACCGAGGCAGGGTGAACCAGAAAAAAACGCTTTCACCATCATTCACGTATAATCAGTCTTTGCAGAGGTGCGCAGATATGACAGTTTAGATGTCACTCCAAACAGCAAATATCTCAAACCCCTCCTTTAAAGTGCAGGCATTGTACTTCCCACATCCAGTACTCAAATCCAACTAACTGGTTTCCTTGAATCCCTTCACAAAATATTACCCTGCTCACACTCCAACAGCTCGTCATCAAGTCCCAAAAACCATTTGTCTCGTCAAGTCTCACAAATCATTCGTCTCCATTCACTCCTTTCTAACATGATCACACATGCCTGCTGTATGTCCAAGCCACTTGCACACAAAACCTCTTTTACCATCTCCCTCCATCCACACATAATTATTCATTTCTTTACATCCTAATATAGTACATCCCTGTCATTTGTCCATAAGAATTTCCGGACAAACCAGAATTGCTGAGGAATATGATGGGTTTGTTGGGCAATGTAGCTGAAGTGAAAACTTCAGAACTCCTTACAACATTTGCTGACCTCCTAGATTCAAACTCAGATGGCATTGGTTCTTCATGAGATGGCAGATGGCATTTGTCCTTCATAAACCCATCGGCCGACAAATCTACTCCCAAGTATCAGAACACATTCACCTCTTCCATACTCCCTCCCTCCAATCTGATATGCAATTTTTCCTTATCTAAATTGTTTGATACCCTCATCACCTTACTCTTATCTATGTTCACTTTTCCACTTCCTTGATCCAAGGAAGTGGAGGTACCCCTCCCTTATTATTAAAATATGTACATAATATAATATAATGTCAGGAACAAATTATTTTTTCTTTTGTTTTTGAGTCACCCTGCCTTTGTATTAACGATAACAATAATAATAATAATAATAATAATAATCCAGCTGTGACAGGAGTGACCTGAAAAAGAAACAATTTCACTATCATTTACTCTATTACTGTCTTGCCAGAGGCATGCAGATATTACAGTTCAGTTACCCCTCCAAACCACAAATATTCCCACTTGTACTTCAGAGTACTTCCCACCTCCAGATCTCAAGTCTGGCTAACCGATTTCTCCGAATCCTTTCTCAAAAATGTTACTTTGCTTACACTCCAACAGCCTGTCAAGTCCCCAAAACAATCTGCTTCTAATCTTATCCAACATGCTAGGTGTCCAAACCCCTCGCACACAAAACCTTCGTTACCCTCTCCTTCCAACTTTTCCTAAGGCAGCCCCTACCCTGCCTTCCCTCCATGTATATAAAAATTAACTGAGAAACAAATTTTAAACTGTCTTGATATTGGCTTTTATAAAAAAAAAACAACAACATTTTGCAAAAATTCTTCATATACATATTTTTAAATCTATCTGCAGGTATTTATAGATAAATTTAATTACTAGTACTTAAGAGCCTATAAGTAAGCATTAAGAAAAATATTTAGGAATGAAAATTCAAAAGTAAAAAGTATTTTTACAATGAGAATAAAAAACTTTTTATAAACTTTAGTACTTCTATAAACAGGTTACTTGGTCACCTGTAAACAAATATTTATTGAAAAAGAGTAATTTTTTTTTTCAATGAACCGGCTGTATCCCACCAAGGAAGGGCGACCTAAAAAAAAATGAAAATTTTTCTTTTTAAATTTAGTAATTTATACAAGAGAAGGGGTTAAAGACAGTAAATTCTTTCTTTCTTTCAACACACCGGCCGTATCCCACCGAGGCGGGGTGGCCCAAAAGGAAAAACGAAAGTTTCTCCTTTTACATTTAGTAATATATACAGGAGAAGAGGTTACTAGCCCCTTGCTCCCGGCATTTTAGTCGCCTCTTACAACACGCATGGCTTACTGAGGAAGAATTCTGTTCCACTTCCCCATGGAGATAAGAGGAAATAAACAAGAATAAGAACTAGAAAGAAAATAGAAGAAAACCCAGAGGGGTGTGTATATATGTGCCTGTACATGTATGTGTAGTGTGACCTAAGTGCAAGTAGAAGTAGCAAGATGTACCTGAAATCTTGCATGTTCATGAGACAGACAAAAGACACCAGTAATCCTACCATCATGTAAAACAATTACAGGCTTTCGTTTTACACTCACTTGGCAGGACGGTAGTACCTCCCTGGGCGGTTGCTGTCTACCAACCTACTACCTATAAAGACAGTAAATATCCCGAATTATTACTCTAACAAAAGATATACAAGCAGAAATGGGTACACAATTTGTCAAGGACACTAAAAATTAGAATGTGATTTATAAAAAAATTTAAATTAGCATATTGTAAAGAAAGTGGTCATAAAACAATGCCTTTCACTCTTATAAAGAGAACTGACCTATAATTGATATTACGTTTTGATGCTAAATCCCATCGTTCTATTGCTGCCACCATCCTTTCTAGCACTTCGTTTCTTGTCGGACGTTCAATGGTCCAAACCTCACTTCCACCACTTGCAATGTGGGACAAAACTCCAGCAGCATTGTAACTCACCTGAGAGATATAAACAAAAAAAGTTACCTATTATAATATTATAAAATTTATGATAAACTTGATTTTGCATAACTCACAATAAATCATAAACCTGATAAGAAGTTCTCAGGCTATAAATGATATGTGGATGAAACTTTGGAGGAAGGAAAAGTATCAGGCAACCAAATAAAGGTACTCTTTGGGGATGCTTGCTTCATTCAGCAGTTATGAAAACTTGACCAGATTACTGGTCTCTGGCTACACCTCTCAAGAGGATCAATAACTGTAGGTCAAATAACCTTACCTCAATGCCATCTGAGTTCGAATCCAGGAGGTCAGCAAATGTTGTAAGGAGTTCTGAAGTCATAAGGCGTGATCTAAGGTTTTTCACTTCAGCTACATTGCCCAACAAACCCATCATATTCCTCAGCAATTCTGGTTTGTCCGGAAATTCCTGTGAACAAATGATAGGGATATACTATATTAGGATGCAAAGAAATGAATAATTATGTATTAATGATTATGTTTAAATACATTATTATGCAATTCTTTTGTTCAAGAGTCCTTCACCAGCACCATGGTAATTAACGGTCATGAATGGTTGAACTCCATGCTGGAGTGCCACATTTTCTCTTCTTTCTGCATGTTCTGCCAAAACAATCTTTACCAAAACTTGTGGCATTATGGAAATTATTCTTTCTCTTAATTACCAGATACCTGCTACTAGGGAAAGGCCACCTATGAAGATCTTGCATGTTTCCACATACATGTGCAGTTGACTTATCTCTTCTCTTTGAATTTCTCCTTCAATCTTCAACTCCAGAATCACTTTCTTTACTTCACCTCTACTATGCAGAATCCTTTCCTCCCTGGGTGCCCCATAATTTGCTTCATTAATGCCCATTATCATCAGGGCTCTGTCTCAGTCTTTATTCTCTTTTCCCATTATATCAGCTGATCTAGTTTCCACAGTGCCGATTGTCATTTTATTGCTTGTAGTTTCAGGAACGGGGAGGAGGAGGTTAGCATTAGCTCTTGGCCCTGCCTCTTAACTTTCAAACAGCTAATGTGACAGTGCTGGCTTGTAAATTGTTTAGCCCATATGGAGTATGCTTGTATGATATCACTGGTCACTTTCCACTTCCACTCTTCTCTCCCCTCTCCTTCCATCACAGGCTTAATTCTCTCCATCTTTTCTTCTTCTTCCTTCCTCTGCCACATCCACTACTCCTTTACTACTCTATACTGAAGAAATGTTTTCTAAAATCCCTGTGGCTCATTTGGGAGTGCAAGCTCCAATTATGCTCTCTTAATAGTGCTAAATTCCTCATAAAGCATACCTTTGTTTACCTTGCCCATGCAAGAAAGTATTTTGCCATGAACATATCCAGTCTAATTTTGTGTCTTCACTGAATTGTGTGTGTAGTCAGTAATGGTTAATGAAATAAAAGATATTTAAATGAGCAAACTACAAGAGATATTTAAATGAGCAAACTACAAAAGATATTTAAATGAGCAAACTAACAGTTGAAAACACTTACCTTAAGACACTTTTGGAAATAAGTCATACCCTGGCCATCAAGAAAGCGTAAACAGTTGACAGGAGTTTCATCAGTGACATTCCACATGGCTGACCAAGCAATCTCCAGCATGTCGTCATGCATGTGCCGCTGTAACCTGTCGTTTATCAGCTTCAACATTGTCTGTTGATCAAGATACACTGTCAAGTGAATGACCATTTTTACTAATTTTCAGCTTTCATAATTTACGACTATTAACATCATAGGTAGGTAGTAGTTTAGTAGACAGCAACCACCCATGGAGGTACTACCGTCCTGCCAAGTGAGTGTAAAACGGAAGCCTGTAATTGTTTTACATGATGGTAGGACTGCTGGTGTCTTTTTTCTGCCTCATAACATGCGAGATTTCAGGTACATCTTGCTACTTCTACTTACACTTAGGTTACACTATACTTGCATGTACAAGCATATATATACACACCCCTCTGGGTTTTCTTCTATTTTCTTATTAGTTCCTTGTTTATTTCCTCTTATCTCCATGGGTAAGTGGAACAGAATTCTTCCTCCCTAAGCCATGCGTGTTGTAAGAGGCGACTAACATTCTGGGAGCAAGGGGTTAGTAACCCCTTTTCCTGTATACATTACTAAAATTAAAGAGAAACTTCTGTTTTTCCCTTTGGGCCACCCTGCCTTGGTGGGGTATGGCCCAAAGAAGAAAGAAAAGAGAAAATTTTTCCAGCTATTTAAGATAAAAACGGGTTCATGAGTTTTTAATCTGGCATCGAGCCCACTTAAATGGTACCACTATGAGACGATCCAGCATCACTATGGGGATTTTTTTTTTTCAACAAGTCGGCCGTCTCCCACCGAGGCAGGGTGACCCAAAAAAGAAAGAAAATCCCCAAAAAGAAAATACTTTCATCATCATTCAACACTTTCACCACACTCACACATTATCACTGTTTTTGCAGAGGTGCTCAGAATACAACAGTTTAGAAGCATATACGTATAAAGATACACAACATATCCCTCCAAACTGCCAATATCCCAAACCCCTCCTTTAATGTGCAGGCATTGTACTTCCCATTACCAGGACTCAAGTCCGACTATATGAAAATAACTGGTTTCCCTGAATCCCTTCACTAAATATTACCCTGCTCACACTCCAACAGATCGTCAGGTCCCAAGTACCATTCGTCTCCATTCACTCCTATCTAACACGCTCACGCACGCTGATAATGTAGCAAGGTGAAAATGTCATAATTAATTAACCCTTAAACTGTCCAAACGTAGATCTGCGTTTTCGTGTGTAGCGCTCTGACCTCGATTTTCTCCATAAGTGTGTAAAAAATAAGTAGATCTACGTTCGGAGTGCTACATGAGCGAACATAGATCTACATTTGGACAGTTTAAGGGTTAAAGCATTGCGCTTGAAATGCAGATGAAAATAAATCTGCCATATCTTTGTGAAAATTCTAAATTTACTTCAACAGGCTCTTCACAAAATGCACTGTATGATTCAGAAAATGTAATGAACTAATATCTTACCATAAGTTTACGACCCCTTAAAGACCATATACGTACAGTGAACCCTCGCCTTACGATCATCTCCCTACTTGAACAATTATGTAAGTGTATTTTTGTAAGCGCTTTTGTACATGTATTTTTGGGGGTCTGAAATGGACTAATCTAATTTACAATATTCCTTATGGGAACAAATTCGTTCAGTAACGGCACCCGAACAGACTTCTGGAATGAATTAATATCGTAAGTCAGGGGTCCACTGTATAAACAATCAATTAGTTATTGCCTTTTTCGTCTTAAGATAGAGTTTAGTTTGTCCAAAATGCTCTGCATAACAATGGCTTTCTGCAAGCACACCTAAATGTCACCCATCTTTATAAATACGTATTGTATCATGCTAAAATGAAGATTGTGATTATGATAATATTATGATAATGATAAACAAATGCATAACAAAACCCACCTCAATAGCACCAAGATCTCCAACCAGCTCTTTCTGCTCCCCATCCACTTGGCAGGCTAGGGAATTCAAGAGATAGATGGCAATGCGGCGCACAAAATCATCACCATCGCCTCTGCCTCTAATTAAACGTAGTAACAGCTGCACCAAGCGACGGTATTCAAACAGCTGAAAATCCAAAAATATTAACAGCTGCATTTTTTGAATTAAGCCAGTTCTTGGTCATATAATTGAAAGAAGGTTATGGTACTGTAGTTAAATTTTAAACCTGTGTAAAGGATCACTACACGTGTACAGTAAAACCTCAATTTGACAAACAATGATATACCGGACAAAATCCATGGCAAGACAATATTCAGAAATATTGGACAAAGTTTGTTCAATAAAGAGTTATGTTACTGTTAAGGTAAATTCATTCAAACTTAACAAAGTTCATTAATCCAGAATTGTCCGTTGCTGACATGATCGTGGAAAAAGTTTCATCATAAGTATGTAACGGATAATCAATTTCAAGGGCACTCCCTCTCTGCTATTAGTCCATTAAACGTAGAGTTCACTGTAGTATTGAAAACAAATTACAAATAAAAGCTAAATAATAACAATGATAAATACTTATCAAAACCAAACAAGAATGCCAATTAAAAAAACGTTAAGTAGCACATGTATAAGTTAAAACATTGATTTAAATAAGATTTCTGAAAATAAAAACTGTCCCTTTTATAGTTAAGGAATAAAATGCTTTTTTCAACCAAAAAAAGTCTTAATACATACAGCATAACTGCTTTATCGTAAATAATGCAAATAATAATGACATACTTTGAATATAATTTTCAGTGTTTCTGTCATAATAACTTTACTAACATCTTGCAATACTCATATCTTTGTTTGCATTTTTAAAACTGTCATTCCCTATCTGCACTCTTCATTACTACCTTTTATGTTTTGTCATAATTTTTTTCCAACAAACTGACTGCATCCCACCAAGGCAGGGTGACCTAAAAAGTAAAATGAAAGTGTTTTCTTTTTAAATTTAGTAATTTATACAGGAGAAATGGTTACTAGCCCTTTGCTCCCTCTTTTATATATATTTTTCTTTCATAAATATAATTATATATTCTGAGAGCCTGTACTGGGGTCATTCATGTCGTGTTGATTTCCTGAATATTTGAGACTCCTTCAGAATTTGTTGAAGAAGTTAGTTATTGAATTACGGAACCTGTACATAAGATGAAAATACGTAAAATTACAGGATAGACCTACAGACACTACACTACACAATACACACAGTGATACATGTGTGAACAATACACGCAAGTACTCTTACATACCCAAAGTAAGAATCCTAAAATGTAGAACAGTGGGTTAGGGAGCAGCTTCACTTACATGACCCCCCTCCCTGCATCTCCCTTTATTAGTTTGTCAGTGCAAGGAGCAGGAGACAGGAGGGAGCTTGCCAAACCTCCCAGATTTCTTGATCCATCATTACCAAAGCAATTAACAAACCACACAAACCTAATGAATATACACCTAAACTAAAGATAATGCATTTATCCAAACAATAAGACAATTATAATTCCTCATTATAACTTAAGAAAAATAAATTAAAAATCCAATTCCTAGTTTATTTGTACCAAGATAGTATGAGCATAACATATGCACTTTAAAGACCAAATTTTATCTTGTAAACTAGCCCATAAAACAAATGGCACAAAGCTACAAGAAAATGGATACTATATATATTACACTTTTTTTTTTTAATAATGTTAAGTGCTAAACTCATATGGGTCATACAGTGTAAGACATGGTGAAGGCATGATCCTCAGTCTGCCGAGCACAACACAGATGATTCTCATTTGTCACACATTTCTTGACTGATTTTTACCAAAATAATCCATCACCACTGCCACAACTAGGTGTGCACTACTTGTCATGCTCTTTCCACAAAACCTCCATAACATTTCCAAGAAAGTAATGAAATTCTGCATTGTAGCATTTTTTTTTTTTTTTTTTTTGTAGCATATATTTGTATAATTACAGTGAATGATTTTTTAGTGGCAATGTACAAGAATTTATATATAATACAATAGTGCAGATATAAAAGCAACAATTATGAGAAAAGACCAAAACATAAAAATACACTGAATATACACTGATTAGCATTAAAAATAGTGAACAGTATTTTTTTTTTTTTAATACATACGTCAGCCATTTCCCACCGAGGCAGGGTGGCCCAAAAAGAAAGAAAAACCCAAAAAGAAAGAAAAAACTTTCATCATTCAACACTTTCACCATCACTCATACATAATCACTGCATTAGCAGAGGCACTCATATACAACAGTTTAGATGTCCCTCCAAACAGAAAATATCCCAAACCCCTCTTTTAAAGTGCAGGCATTGTACTTCCCATTTCCAGGACTCAAGTCCAGCTAGCCGGTTTCCCTGAATCCCTTCACAAAATATTACCCTGCTCTCACACTAACAGCTCATCAGGTCCCCAAAACCATTTGTCTCCATTCACTCGTATCTAACATGCTCATGCATGCTTGCTGGAAGTCCAAGCCCCTTGCCCACAAAACCTCCTTTACCCCCCTCCCTCCAACCATTTTGGGGACGACCCCTACCCCACCTTCCTTTCCCTACAGATTTATATGCTCTCCAAGTCATTCTACTTTATTCCATTCTCAACAACCCCTCTTCTGCCCTCTGACTAATACTTTTAGTAACTCCACCAGTTGGCATTCAGTGTCTCATCAATGTCATGCAATAACATCTACACTGTTACCACTAAGTAATGCACTTACCACATCTTGAGGTATTCTGAATTGGCACAGGGTGAGGCAGCCATTGCGCATCATAGTCGAATCATCAAGGTGTGTCTCCATTGCATCTAGCAAAACTATTATCATCTTCTGTCTTGCTCTAACACTTAAGCTATTTTTATCTTCTCCCTTTGCAATGTAGAATAGCGATGCACTTTTAAGTAGAAAAGTACACAAAATTAAGTACATCTACAACTGCTGAAAAGCATAAAATATTATAATGTACACAACCAATTCACAAGCATACCCCAGTAATACGGCAGATTAGGGTCCAGACCGTTGTTGTAAAGTGAATATCACAAAATGAATCACAGCATTTTTTTTTCACTTGCCAGTGCATATAAAAGCCTAAAAATATGTTTACACCATCATTTATTAAATGTACAATAGCACTAAGCTTAAAAAACAATGCAAAAGTAAAAAAAAAAAAAAAAATTGACAAAAACCATCTTAAGAGAAGTGCCAAAAATACTAAATATGAATTGAAAAGCGCCGTATTAGCAAAGTACTTTAAAGCGAGCACTGTATTAGCAAGGTATGCCTGTACAGGATTTAGAAAAATAGTTTTAACAAATACGTATACAGTGTATTAAACTTAAATAAAAAATAACACATCAAATCTGTATATGAATTTTAAGAAATACACACCTCCCCGATATTTGAATATGTTTCTCTCTGCGATGTCTTAACATAGAGAGTAAAATTAAATTAAGGGCCCTCTGCTGATCATGACACGTCTCAAACCGGAAGATGTGAAAAAGTTCATTCAAAGCCTTAACTAGTACTTCTGGTCTGTCGAGATATGCTGCTGTGGCTGCCAAGATCTGTTCCTCACTTGCATCACCAGTGATCTAGGAGATAAATTTGTTAAGTGCACCTGGATGGAGATAATATATAGCAATTCTGTTATAAACTGGAAATGTAATGCCATCAAGTGATGATAAGACATTAACTTCAGTTAAAAAAACATAGCACAGGGGTGGTTTAGAACCCATGGCAAGTGAGTTGTATAACTCAAAGCCAGTGTGTATGCCACTGGGCCAGCTGGTTACAATAAGATTAATTGAACTTGGTATATTTATACAGCATGGGCCCCAGGCCCATGCTATCCTCCCTACAACATGGGCCTGGGGCCTATGCTAACTTCCCTATGCTGTATCAATATACCTAGTTGGATGAATCCTATTGTAGCCAGCTGGCCCAGGGGTTTACACATTGGCCTGGAGTTTTACAACTCACTTGCCATGAATTCTAACCCCACCCTCCCACCATGGTTTGTTTGCAATTGTGTTATTATGATTTCATAAGTCAACTGCAGTTAAGTTCTTTACCAATACAGGTACAATGTTTCACCAATGGGTAGAATATGAACCTGTAAAAGGCCACGTGTGTGTGAAATGTTTCACTAATAAAGGACATCACTGCAACTAGTATTTTTATCACTAGACAACAATTTTGTTAGGTAAGAATATGGCTGTTCCTAAACTTCTTTCAATTCATATTAAAATTCAGAATTGTTTATAAAAAATCTGCTGAATAAACTTTAAAAGTCAGCTGGATTAAATCATAACAATAAGATATTAGAGCCAAGAGTGGTATAAAAATTTTTTTTTCAATTAGTCAAATGAATTACGATCTTACTACTTTGGCAGGGATGTGATTTCTGTGACATGCATCATGAAGTGTGTTATACAGTCCAAGAAACTCCAGTGGGTTTTGTATCCGACTTCTGAGTCCTGGGATATCACACAGGTCTGTCTCCATGTTTCCACTATCTTCGCTCTTCTGAAAAAAAGTTTTTCTTGCATAAACAACACAAAGATTTACATACAGTACACAATGGCAATGCAGAATTTTCATTTTGTAATCACTAACTGCAGCTTGGTTACCCATGCAGTCTACTGGCAAACAAGCCAGAAGAAGAAAGCAAAGAAGATACTCTTGAATATTGATCAAAAAAACAAAACACGACCATATAATTCATCAATTAGTAAAAAAAAAAATAATGGCATTTTTGGGAACACACAATGCATATGTGGTACTATAATTAGTCAGAATGTGCAAACACAGGCGCACGTGCGCACGCACACATGCATACACAGAGTAGACTGTTGATTTACAACTCACTTGTCATGAATTCTAACCCCACCCTCTCACCACGGTTTGTTTGCAATCGTGTTATTACGATTTTGTAAGTCAACTGCAGTTAAGTTCTTTACTAATACAGGTACAATGTTTCACCAATGGGTAGAATATGAACTTGTAAAAGGTCACGTGTGTGTGAAATGTTTCACTAATAAAGGACTTCACTGCAACTAGTATTTTTATCACTATAAAACACACACATACATATATACATACAAACAGTATACTGTTGATTAACATGATAGTCAACGTTCTGGAAAAGGGTGTGTAAATAAATAAAATAACTGTAAAGTGAACTGAAGAATATGTGGGAAAAAATATTGGTAATTATTACGTTATATATAGTAATGAAAATTGCTCGTCACCCAATCTCACAACAGCAAAATGTAAAAATCTTTTAGCTTAAGAAAAAGACTGTTTATGGGAATGAGTTTCGACAAAAGATTAACATATTCCATTTTCAAATAATGAACATGCTTTATTTAACCCTTTCAGGGTCCGTGCCGTAGATCTATGGCTTTACGTTCAGGGTCCAAACCGTAGATCTACGCCATGAACTCAGCTCACTCTGATAAGCTGTGAGCAGTAAATTTTGGCCTAGATATGAGAGAATACATCTATGTGGTATGTGTGCACCACATAAAACAAACCCTGCAGCACACAGTGCACGAGAGAAAAAACTGAGACCGTAATTTTCCATTAAAAGTGACTTTGCAGTGTTTTTTCGTATATTTTTTATAGTTGTATTTGCAATTTTTTGGTCTCATTTGATAGAACAGAAGATATACTACAGAAATAGAGATTATTCTGATTGGTTTTAGCACTGGAAATGGCTTGAAACTGAGCTCAAAGTAGCAGAAATGTTAAATTTTTGCTGATGTTCAAGAGTAAACAAATGACCTCACAAGTTTAGTACATGACAGCTGGTGGGTCTAATATACATTCACAAATGTGGTGATATTATTTATACAATTATTACAGTATTGCATAAGAGTAAATCTTCTATTTTTTTGGTTTGAATAAAAATTCATTATGCGAATAAAAAATCAAAATGGAATTAATTTGTAAAGCCTGAAAACATAACTAATGAACAGAGGAAATGCTAGTTTAATGCCAGGAATGCCTGCATTGTTTATTCTGGACCTTCTTTTGAAATGGGAATATTTTGAACTTTACATTAAATTGGCCAAATTACCAAATTTCGGTCACTTTATTTTGTTGTTGAAACAGCTGACTTGGCGTTTTCTTGTGCTCAATCGATAGAATAGAGGTAATACTAGAGAAATAGCTAAGAATTTGGTTGACTAAAATACTGTAACTGGCCTAAAATGGGAGTCAAAGTCGGCAAAATTGCCGATGCTTAAATACCGCCGAAACATCAAAATTTGCGAGAGCATAATTTCGCCAATTTTCCATCAAATTTCGTACTTTTTGTTTTATTACCTTCAGAAAAAGATTCTCTACCATTTCATAGGAAAAAATAACAAAATTATTTTTTGAAAATTCTTGGACCCTGGTACACACTGAAATTTGGCCTCGGGACCCTGAAAGCGTTAATGCTCAATAAAATGGGAAAGAATGTTCGGCAAACTTGAACACACAAATATTACCTTTTCCAAGTCTCTGTATTCATCAAAAGTACCATCCCCACACAAATTTGTGCCAGAAATGTCAAGACTGATTAGATTGGGTAGACTTGACACCAGGTTGGCTAGGACAGTGTCTGGTGACTCGAACACACCATACTTCTGGTTGGCTTGAGAAATGTCCAGAAATCTACAGTATATTATAAAAAAAAAAAGTAAAAAAGAAAAAATGTTAAGTCATTTGCAAACACTGATGACTATAGCATTCCAGGTAAAGTAAAGTTGGCTACAAATAAAACTAAACAAAGTATAGAAAATAGATCTCCCACATCATGGAAGGCATTCAAAGCACCCAATAACCCCAGCATATCCTAAGAGGAGCTAGTTGTAGGAATTAGTCAAAAAGAATCTCTCTCCTTTCTCATGATTTTTTATATTTACTGCATGTATAAATACTATTTTTTAAACAATTTTACTCAGTTTAAAATATTACAGCTTCTCCTTACTAACACACCACCTCACAGATTTGCTTAAAACGTAATTTTAACTTTTAAAATATTGAACATACAGTACTATACACAGTACTGCTCACAAAAATATTTCCTCTACAATAACAATGGAAGCAAAAGCCCTGCTGAAGGGGACTGAGAATATGTACAGTAAACCCTCTATATAATGGGATTAAATGAGGGGGGGGGGAAATTGGGTGTCCATTAATGGCAGATGTGGTGGATAAAGAAAGATTACTTTGTCGCAACTGTAATAATGATGAACAATTCCTTCACCACAGGAGTTCTTCCACTGTTTCCAAATCTACTGACCCAGCGAATTTTCTGTATTTCCAAGATCCATTTAATGGAGGGTTTACTGTGATGCTGTACACAGTGCATACATTATTCTGTGCTAAGCTATTACATACCATCTAACACGAAACGAGGGTTTTAACAAATTATCGGTATTGGTGAGTATTGGCCCTTTTCATGGTATAGGTGAAAAAGTTTCGGATACCAACTGATACTTTTAACATAATTTTATTATTTTAAAGGACTTCTGAAATATTAACACCAACCTATGATTGTGAGGTAACTCATTTTTATTTTCCTAATTAATTTCTGATGATGTCTTCATCAGATTACTAAATATGCAGGCAGATACAGAAATTCCAAGTTTTCTTTTTTCAGTTTGTGAATTACATGTAAGTACTAGAAATTAGTAATAACACTGACTTCTGAGATAAATTAAATTATTTAATATTTAACCTCCATGTGTTATTTAATACCTATTGAGCAATGAGCATTGCCTTGCTGAATACAGTTATCATAATTTCAAAATAAAAATACAGAAAAAGTATCAGTGTCAGTATTAGCCTAAAACTGAGTATCAATATCAGTAAAAAATTTGGCATCATCCCATCCCTTCAAGAAACATGAAGATCTACATAGAATTTGCAGAAAATCTTTGGATACCGAATATTTAAAAAACACCCCAGTATTGGTTTCAGTAGCTGGAACTTAAAGAGTATATTACAATACAGCAAACCCTCAATTTAACTGACTAATATGGGGTAGCAGATGACCGATAACAGTGACTGTGGTATAGCTACAGATACGAGATTAATTTGCCACGATCATAACAAAATGGTCAATTCTTTAACCAGTGCAGTTTGTCAGTTGATTCTGAATCAACTGACTCAGTGAATTTTGTTCCGTATTTCCAAAGCCCAGTAAACTGAGGGTTTTCTGTACATAGAAAATAGAGATAAAACTACTATTATCTATTAATCATTGGTTTACCTATCTGACAAAGAAAAATATTTGCAAAGAACAAAATAAAATATATACTGACTTTAATGTTTTCATCTCCGAGATGGCTGGAATTGCCTCTTGTATTCTTTGGACATTATGCAGGTTTATGGAGACTAGATACTTCATGGGAAGGATATAAGATGCATCGTTAAGAAACAAGCAGCCTGACAAGTCCAAATGAGTGAGTTTTGTAAGAGGCTTCAGGAGGAGAGAAAAGTATTCCTTTTCTTTAGGCAGATATAGCTCTCGAACCACCAGTTTTTTCAAATTTGGTGTTCGCAAGATGTATCCCCTTTGTTTGATTTCGCTAACAGGACTGGAGTCTGAACTGTCACTGGATTCAAGAGATGGTGAATACACAGAGTCTGGTAAAATATCTTTGGTTTTTCCAATCACTAAAGCTGTTAGACTGTCACCAACTCTATTAATGTTTTCTAATGTTCTTTCTGAGAGTTTAATACAGTTACTAATATCTAGCTCTACTAAATGATGAGAAAGTAAGAGATTCAGGCCACCATCCGACACCCCAGAGTTTCTTAACGTTATACGTTTTAACCTCGTGTTAGTCAAGTCTTTGAAAATATTAATAAATCTATCATCCAGTGCCTCAGGATCCCTGTCTTGCCACAGACTTATCAACTTTTCACATATTTCTGTTGGGAGAGCAACACCTGGTCTGAGGCACCACAGACCAGTTTCTTGGTGTAATACACAGAAAGTTTCAGGGTGAGCAATAACATATTTCCCACATATGTCCAGAAGAGGCTCTGGAGAACTGTCCTCCCACGGACAGTAAATGTATATAGTTCCCATAGTCATGTTCAGCTCCACCTCCCGTCTATTATTTTCTCTGGTTACTGCATAATTTATGTTGTGGTTCTGAAAAAAACAAATGAAAAAATCTATCGAAAAATGTACGTGATAATGACTACAAGTATAAAAATAATGGCAGATACTTCTTAAGAATTTCTGTATACAAGTTATTAACAAAACACAGGAATGACTTTTTTTTTTTTTCAAATAAATCCAAAGAAATAAATGAGCTAAGATAACTCAATGAGGTACAAGTTCAATAAAAATCTTAAAAGAGTTTATATTTGGGGTATTAATCCGGAGAATTCATAATACAGGAAAACCCAAGAAAGTCACTCAGTCTGGCTTATTTTCACCTGGATCACCTGATCCCCTCTCCCAGGATGCGACTCACAACAATCAACTAACACCCAAGTACCTAATAACTGGTTGGCAGAGGTAATAAGTGTAAGAAAACATACTCAACATTTGCACTTATGTCCGGATTGAACCCGGGTCTTTCAGATGTGACCTGAAGGGAATATCATTTGAGCCACGAACAAACCTCTTACATATGCATAAGGAAATATTTCTCAGTTGAACATAGGGCAGAGAAGACACGGATATCATTTACATATATCTCTGAAAAATCTATTCAATGGACAAACTGAAAAAAAAAGCGTAATTGATTAGCGCTGCTAGGAGACCACAAGTGAAAAATACGAGAATATTAGTCCAGATATATTGCCATCAGTATTCCTGGAGGTATGTCCCTCTGAATTACTCATACATACAGCTCATATATGATACTTACAGCCACCACGCACACACACACCCACCCCAGTGATGGTAAAATCTTCCCGTCTTCACTACAGAGTAACTTCCAGATTTTCAGGACCTGCCTTGTTTACAGTTGCGAGTTACATGAGCTGGAAGGCCATCTGTGAGGAGGATCAAACTCCCCTGGTGGAACCTTCGCCACCATCACCAGCAGAGTTAAGTGGCCAGGAACGCGCTTCCACGCCCATTAAGGAGGATCACCCTCCATGCCAAGCTACTTATACTTCCCTTTAGCCTGACATTCACAAAATCAAGTATTTCAGTATTGTGAAAGACTATTACAATTCTCTTGTTGACTAGCAACGTCACTTCCACAAATATATTGTATAACTGATGCGCATGTTCCTGTATATAGTAAATATTTGTGTTGTTTCAGCTGCTTATCTCATCTAAATACACATTAATTCTCTTGTTTACATGGTAAACTAAAATATGGCTACATACATTACACTTTTACACTAAAGTAATGACGGTCTCAAATTAGCTATACATTGCGGTCTACCTAATTTTTGCTAATGCAAAAAATAAAAAAAGCATCAGACTGGCGAAACATAAAATGTTTAGCATGAGAACAATTAAATTTAGCAAAAATGAGAATACGTAGTCCTATTAGGACCACAATGGAAATAATCTCTCACGTTTTTGGCGTTTCCTAGGTAATTAACACTGATAACAAAAAAAGGCACAATACCGTGACTGGAACGATACACAAATAACCCGCACATAGAAGAGAGGAGCTTACCACGATGTTTCGGTCCTACTTGGACCATTAATTAACACTGTATGATAACTGTATTTACGTGTACCGGTACCTAAATAAACGGCTGGATAACATTAGGACGTTTCCATAAGACACCCATCAGTAAAATGGGTACCTGGGTGTTAGTGAACTGGTGTGGGTCGCATCCTGGGACAAAATTGACCTAATTTGCGGGAAATGCTCAGCATAACAAGCGACTTTGTATATAGTAGTATGTCACTGATGTCAGCTATGGTCTGTATACCTTGTACATGTACTTGTAGTAAATAAATATATTATTATTATTAAATATTTATAACAATTGGGTATATAAGCCAAAATCCCCTTTATATGTAGACGTACGAGCCACAACCCGGTTGGTTAGGTACTGACTTCAGGTGCCTGTCCAGCGTCTTCTTGAAGACAACCAGACAGGACGAAGCACGAGGACGACGGCCAGAGCTGTCGTGAGATGGGAAGGAAGAAGGATGAGGAAGGATGGAAATACTGGAAAAGGATGGGAGGGAGGAGGAGAATAGGCAAGTGGCCCAACCACTTTGGGACATGTGGTACGGAAGTACTGCAGGCGTAGGTGAAGATGGTTGACAGACGCCAGTACTTGGCTCACAGGGAGGGTAAGACAAAGGCGGCGACAGGAGCTGGGAAGGTCAGAAGGCAGCCAGCAGGATGAGGTGTATAGTTGATGGTCGGTGGGAGGCTTATTAAACTAGTGTCCCAGAACGCAGAGACAAGAACTTCGTTTTTGGTAGATGGATGAGGTTAAACGTGCCGTCGGGGTTTACCCCCAGGAGCAGTAAGGATACTGAGCACTTCCGCAAGGCTGCAGGGATGTGGTCCAGTACAGGTGAACTTAGCATGTTCATTCTGGAGGAGGTGGATCAACGTCCGGGGAATCAACGTTGTAGGATACTGACGAGTGGTGAAGAAAGTGATTCCAGGTATTTCGAGGCTCTCATCATCAGAGTCTGAGGCAGGCGAAGTCGTTGATTGGATAGGTTTAGTGGTGATGGAAGACGAGGACGCTGCTCTTGTCTTGACAGACGTGGTGGCTGGAGGAGGAGGCGGTCTCTCATTGGTGGAATGCTAAGCAGAGCAGGTAGCTTCTGCAGAAATCATATCTTACAAGTCATCTGGTGCCTCGAAGCTGACGATTTTTGGAATAATCTTCAAAACATCAGCTGAAGCAGGACTAGCTGGGAAGTTGAATGATGGCAGATTGTTGAGGGCAAGAATATCATTCATAGTTGTATTGAAACAACTCGGGTTAGCTGCATTTTGCATGTGTGCATACATCAGGCAGTAGTAGAATTTTGTTGAAATATCGTCTTAATTTCATCATGGTAGAGGAGAGGCTGTGAGTGGTGGAGGCTGCTGAGTGGTGGAGGCTGCTGAGTGGTGGAGGCTGCTGAGTGGTGAGGCTGCTGAGTGGTGGAGGCTGCTGAGTGGTGGAGGCTGTTGAGTAGCTTGTGGTGGTCGTCTGTAGCTTAGCTATAGCAGCGTAAGTAGGAGAGTTTCCTGTAGTCTTCAGGTCTTCCTTTAGCTTCTTAAAAAGGATCTCCTTACGAACAGGACATTTGGCTGCCAGTGTATGGTGGTCACTCTTACAGCTGATGCAGGTGGGAGCAGCAGTTGAGGTGCAGGAACGAAAGTCGTGACCTTCAGACCCACAGGTGGAACAGATCTTCTTGTTCTTCACATGGCATTCGGCAGTTGAATGATTGTAGGAGTAGCATGTCCAACAAGGTGTTATATGGTTGAAGCGTTCTGGTTCAATTTAACGAGGGTTGATAAAGTAGTAGGAGATGGCCAGGCCATCAGACAGTGCTCTGGTCGCCATGGTGACGTCCAGAAACGTGACCTTGAGCATCGTGGAAGCGTTGGGGATCTTCATAACAGTCAGTCTTGGCCCAGGCGTTAAGGGAGATAGGTTCGTGATGAGCTTATCAAGGCGTTTCATGAACACTGACCGTTTAGCTAGCATGTAAGGTGAGGTAGAGATGGTAAAGCCACGGTCCTTTAAGATCTTCAGTGCAGCAGGCGTGAGTACCTTGTCTGCTTCTTCATCATCAAGAAAGGTGACAAGGAAAGCTTATTTCAGAGTAGTAATGTTCGAGAGCTTAACTCACAAACTAGATTGGAGAGAGGATGCAAGTTCAAGCTTCCTGGCATCGTTGATGACAGTAGTCTTGGGTTTAATCCTCACACGATGAGACATCGTGGAGATGATAGAGGTTCCCCTCCCCAATGGGGATCGTAGGGAGACTGTTTGAGAAGTGCAGGAGCGTCTGTGACCGTACAGGACGAAGTCTACAGAGCGAATCCAGACAACCAGGGGTCTATTGGTAATCCCCTTTATATATGCTGAGAGGTAGTTGAACATTTTTGGGCCCCTGACACTTATTGTGTTGTCTCTTAGCGAACTCGTGGCGCTTCTGCTTGTCAATGATCCCATTCCTTGGGTATAACCTTGTTGTGATAGAAACAGGCCTTATCTCTAGGCTTTATTGAACATAGAATCTTCATAGTACTTCTGCAACAACAAAATATAATGACTAGTACATCTAATAATGGCTTCTACAGGGATGGTGATGTCTTGCATATGTCAAGAGAAAAGTTATAACTACAGGCCACATATTTAAACTCACCATGTAATCTGTATCACTAATATATATATAGAGGAGGAGAGAATCACACACCATGTGTTGGCGCCCATGACACACACCAAACTGTTGTTATTGTTAAGGGCCCCAAGAGGTGGTGCAGTATTATCCTGCTACTGCTCCCCACAGGACCAGTATCACTACAAACCTACTTCCACTGGGGATTCCAGTGACAATACCTCTGTCTGCTGCACGTCCTTCACCTGTCGCCGGTATATAAGCGCCAAGCTCCATGACTACTCCATTTCCTTCAAGACTACGGTGCTCTTCACCAACTTCAAGTCTGAGGAACTGATTACCTCATCTTTTGTATATATATTTCTCCACATTATGGCTTTGTATTGTGTTGATAAAGCCACTGATAGGCTAAAGTCGACAAATAAAGATACCCAAATGTTGCACATATGTCTAATTCCTCATCTTGTAGGTATTGTATACCATTTATGTACATTAACAAGGTTGTTGTTTAACGTTGGGTAGGACCGGAGTCCTGGCACGGGTCTTAATCTCGTGGTAACACGTTTCTGGCTCCCGGAGGAGAATTCGGTTCTACAGTGTTACAATATTTGTTGTCTCATAAGTGAGAACACTATCTGTAATCTTTGGGTTCCTGGCAGGAACACTGGTTCATGTACATGCTCACGCTGACTACATTTACATGTGCATAAGTATATTCAGTGATATACTCATATGCACTCGCACACATGCACAAGCATATACGCATACTCTCATCTATGCAAACATATATACGCACAAACACACACATGCACACTTAACAGTGGACATGTCTGGGTATGCGACATTTTTTTTTAATTATTAGCGATGGGGAGGATATGATATCACTGTCAACAGCTTGTCGAGGGCGTTGACTCCATGGTGCACCAGGGTAGCCGCAGTCCATTCTGGATCCTCCTCAGGTGGGGACGTCAGTACTAGTTGCCTGCTGAATGTCTCAGTGATTTGGCACTCTAGGAGATACTGTATCAGGATGCTCTGGACAACGTACTGGCACTGTTGGCACATCTCCTCCTCTGCCTTGTCCACCAGCATCCTGACTGTGGGAAAGCCCAAACTGAGCCGATGGATAAGATAAGATGGCGGTGCACCGGCTCTGGACCAGCTATTATTATATGGAGGGGGTTTGCATAAGCAGGGTAGGTAGGTATAACGTTTGTCAGGAAACAGGGTAAGTGTTTCCTGACGTGGGTCTTGGTCATATGATGATCCACAGCGGGAGTTTCTGGTCATCTGACCGAGGCCTTTCTCTGGCTTACCGGTCCACCTCTTTAAAAATCATGATTATAATTATAACCAAAGATCTTTCATTGTTTGCATAAACAAGGTCTTTCTGTGGTCAGCTATGGTCTGTAAAAGTTGTATCATGTACTTGTAGAAATAAAGATTATTATTATTGTTAATATTATTATTCTAGATAATTTACTAATCCTCCGAATTAATAATCCGAATAAATATTCTTCTACTTCATCTTTATCAAGATTATTTAGTCACGGTTCTTAAAGTTAGTTTGCTTGTGTAACCAAAGAAAACGTTAAATTTGATCAGTTGGGAAACTATCATAGCTCAGACCTTGCCTTCTAAATTAAGATTCATGATTCTATATATGGCTTAAAAATACATATATGTCAGAACCGATCCTAGAAACATTAGTGACTTGACCTGCTCTTTATCTTCTCCTTTTCTTTCCTATATTTTCAATGTATTTCTTGTCTTCTGCAGGGGTGGGTTCTGTGCTGTTGGGTTT